ACCTTCCCCTAAAAGTTTGGGCAAGACCGGCCCAACTCGAGGCCTTAACGTAGTTATTTTAAATGCTATTCGAACTTGGGGCCTGAACGGAAGCAAAATAACAGAAGAACAAACATTCATTAAGCTGTGACTAAATGCCAGGATCATGTTGCATCAGCATTACCATACTTACAATACATTCCATATACCATTCACATCACTGAAAGCAAAAGGGAATCAACTTAGGAGTTAAGCATCAACAACTTCTATACACATGTCTATTGTTCCCAAACTTACAACAAAACATGTTATCATAGGGATTAACCAAAATAAGATAAAAGAGTCACTTCGAGTGACTAAGCAAAACAGGTTCAGCTACAGGCTTCGGGGTTGACCTAGGGTGGACCCGCCAGCTGGTTACCTACAACACATTCAAAAAAGTAAAGTGAGCATGGCTCAATGAATGATAGTAGTATAAACAAACTAAAAATACGAACATAAATTACAGTGCATTTTCTCAAATCATAAGCATGGTCATATTTCTCTTTTCTGAACGGTCTCGGGTTCACATAAGACAGAACAGCCTCAGGCCCAACCGAGTACAGAACGGCCTTAGGCCCATCATAGTAACAAAACGGCCTTAGGCCCAACAAAATACAGAACGGCCTTAGGCCCAATACAATACAGAACGGCCTTAAGCCCAATACAATATAGAACGACCTCGGGTCCATATCTTGCATGTCTAGGTTCAAACATGTATATATATATATATATCAGACACATTTCATATAACATAAGGTACTCACCCAGTGAATTGGGTCTTAAATAGCATATATAACACAGAACGCGAACAGAGCATATTAATAGGCTACTATCACTCACTGTGATGTGGGTGAATGTTGGTTCCCTCCTGCGGATGCCCTACACAAAGCACATAAATCATAAGCACATTACCTTTTCTTAATTTCCTTTCATTTCTCATTATTTAATTCGCTATGCCACACGTAATTAAGTGCATCATTGGAACATTAAATGGACATAATCACATGTTTAAGAAGTCGAGAAGAGCGACAGAAGATTACAGAATTTTCCAGCATGGGTCGCACGTGCAGAGGTCATTGCCACACATGCGGGAAGGTGCGCCGCACGTGCGGGCCGCACGTGCCTTTTTAGCAGAATGCTCCCAACTTTCTTCCCTGTTTTCTGCACGTGCGGCCATGGGCCCTGCACGTGCGGTCGTTTGCTCTGTTTTTCAGTCCGAAACTTCACAATTCTAGGGCACAAGGGGATAGTCATATAGCTAAATTCAAGGCCAATTTTACCCTAAGAATAGTACATATAACCATGTGAACATGTAGTTTTAGCCAATCAAAATCAAGACTTGCTTCATTTGGGCTTTTACATCTTCAATCCCCCATAATCTCCTTATTCTCACCATGTACCTATATGTATAAGTATATATGCTTATATATCACACCAATTCTAACATACAAAAGAGTATGGAGGGACATATCATAGATACACACTTAAAAGACACATGATCATTTGTGCAATTGATTACCATCAATCAAACTCTAGTTTTCATGGAGGATATTTCATTTCAAAATTTTATTTAACCAATTGAAGAGGAATAAGAATTAGCTAGGGATAGATACTTACTTTAACTTGTATTCTTTAGCTCCCCTAGCAAGATCTTGAATACCCAAATTCTTCTTCTCACTCTCTTCCTTTTCTCTCCTTTCTCTCTCTTAGGAGCCCTCCAGGATTTCCACTCAATGTATATATATATATATAAATATGAGTTCAAAGGGAGGTGTATATAACATATAAATAGGTCTTTAATTTCTAGATTTGCCAAACAAGCCCTGGCGAATCAGACAAAACAAATTTTCAATTAAACCTCCCTAGTAGCTTTAAAAATTCCCACTAGCATATTCACATGTTCAATTTCAGTTTATCGCGCCTCTACAGCTTTTAATTTCAAAGTTAACATTTTAATTTTAACAAATGTATTCCAATAATTAACAGATAGATTAACATAATTCAACAATTCCCACATGTAAGCATAACTTGCATAAAATTTCACATTAATCATGTAATTTCTCATAGAACTAGGGATGCAAAGCATATAAGAGGGTCGGGTTATTACACTCTCCCTCCTCCCCTTAAATAAGTTTGGTACCCAAACTTGATTTACCTTAGGTTGTAAATAACTCTGGGTACCGCTGCCTCATTTCCTCCTCTCGTTCCCAAGTAGCTTATTTCCCATAATGCTCCTACCACTCTATTTTTACCATAGGAATTACTTTACTTTGTAATTGTTTCATTTGGCGGTCCAAAATCTGAATTGGTTTCTCTGCATAAATCAACTTATCGTCTAAGGAAATTTGCTGATAGTCTATGACATGAGTTGGATCTTGCAAATAACTTCGTAACATTGAGACATGGAATACATTATGCACTTGCTCCAGATTCGGCGAAAGAGCAACACGATAGGCTACCGGACCCACCCTTTCCAGGATTTGGAATGGGGAGTGCTAACTTTCCCTTTTTACCAAACCGTGAATGCCCTTTTATTGGCGTGACCTTTACAAAAATGTAAGTACCCACTTCGAACTCCAAGTCTCTTCGTCGATGATCTGCATAGCTCTTTTGTCTACTCTGTGCGGTCTTTAATCTTTCTTGAATAATCTTAATTTTCTCGGTTGTTAGTTGCACAATCTCTAGCCCAATCAAGGATTTGTTGCTGACTTCAGTCCAACATATAGGAGAGCGACATTTTCTTCCGTATAGAGCTTCATAGGGTGCCATTTCTATACTTGAGTGGTAACTGTTGTTGTATGCAAATTCCACCAACAGTAGATGAGTTTCCCAACTCCCTTTGAAGTCCAAAGTACACATCCGAAGCATGTCTTCTAATGTTTGTATGGTTCTCTCAGATTGTCCATCAGTTTGAGGGTGGAAGGCTGTACTGAATCTTAATTCTGTTCCCAAGGCCTCCTGCAGACTTTGCCAAAATCTCGAAACGAACTTCGGATCTCTATCGGACACGATTGAAACCAGAATACCATGTAGTCGTACAATGTCACCCACATATAAGGTGGCCACCTTATCTGCATTGTATTGAGTCTTTACAGGGAGAAAATGAGCCGACTTGGTTAATCTGTCAACAATAACCCATATGGAGTTCATACCCCAGGGAGTTCGCGGTAAGCCGACAATAAAATCCATAGTTAAGTGTTCCCACTTCCATTCTAGAATTGGAAGGGGTTGAAGTAGACCTGCCTGTCTATCTTTGGTGCTCCACTTTTACTTGCTGACACTATAAACACTTGGAGACGTATTCTGCAATTTCCCTCTTCATACCCGGTCACCAAAAACTTTGTTTCAAATCATGGTACATTTTTGTGTTACCCAGGTGCATTGCAAATTTGGAGCTATGCGTTTCCTCCATAATTCTCCTCTTGATTTCTGGCACATCTGGAACACACCATTTACCCTGGAATTTCAATACCAAATTTTCAATTATGAACCTGGGCCTTGGTTTTGTTTCCATTTCATCACAAATTTTCTATAAAAATTTATTTTCCAGTTGTCGTTGTTTAATTTCTTCTATAAGTGCCAGTTAGGCTGCTATTGCTGTCATTATTGCATTTTGATCATGTAACTCAACTCCCTCATTCTTTCTTTTCAAATCACGTAGCAACTCCCTCTGCCTCGCGAGCAGAATTGCCAAATTCCCCGTACTCTTCAGGCTAAGGGCATCAGCAACTGTGTTAGCTTTACCGGGGTGGTAATGAATTTGCAAGTCATAATCTTTAATAAGCTCTAGCCACCGTCTCTGACGTATATTCAATTCCTTTTGAGTGAAGAAGTACTTAAGGCTCTTATGATCGGTATAAATCTCACATCTAGCCCCATACAGATAGTGACGCCATATTCTTAAAGCGAAAACTACTACAGCTCAAGATCATGTGTGGGTTAGTTCTTTTCATGGGGTTTAAGTTGACGAGAGGCATATGCAATAACCTTTCTATTTTTCATAAGTACACAGCCCAAACCTTTATGAGAAGCGTCACTATAAATTTCAAATCCCTCACTACTAGATGGTAAGGCTAGAACAGGTGTTGTAGTTAATCTTGTCTTCAATTCCTGAAAGGCAGATTCTCGTTGCTCTGACCATTCAAACAAAACACCCTTCTGGGTCAACTGGGTAAGCGGCACCACAATTTTGGAAATGTCTTTAACAAATCGTCGGTAGTATCCGGCCAAACCCAAGAAACTACGCACTTCTGACACATTAGTATGCATCGGCCAATTCACAATAGCTTCAATCTTGTACGGATCAACAGCAATACCCTCCATTGTCACCACATGCCCAAAAAATCGCACTTCTTGTAGCCAAAATTCACATTTCTTCAGCTTTGCATATAGTTTCTTATCCCGAAGAGTCTGAAGAATTAACCGTAGATGATTCTCATGAGCTTCCACACTTGTCGAATAAATAAGGAATCATCAATAAACACAACTACAAAGTCATCCAGGTAGGGCTTAAAAACTCGATTCATCAAATCCATAAAGGCTGCTGGTGCATTAGTGACCCCAAACGGCATAACTAAAAACTCATAATGTCCGTAACGAGTCCGGAAGGCAGTTTTCTCGATATCTTCAGCTTTAACCTTTAGTTGATGGTACCCAGACCGTAAATCTATCTTAGAGAAAACTTGTGCACCCTATAATTGATCAAACAAATCATCGATCCGAGGTAAAGGGTATTTATTCTTTATGGTTACTTTATTGAGCTCTCTATATTCCACGCATAGCCGAAGGGTTCTGTCTTTCTTTTTCACAAAAAGGATTGGTGCGCCCCATGAGGAAATGCTCGGACGAATAAATCCTTTATCAAGGAGGTCTTGCAACTGGATCTTCAACTCCTTCATTTTGGCGTGTGACATTCTATAAGGGGTTTGGAGCTAGGCTATGTTCCTGGCACTATATCAATTGTAAACTCAATTTCACGATCAATTAGCTCCCTCGGTAACTCTTTCTGGATAAACATCTGGAAAGTCCTGCACAATTGGAATTGCATCTATGCTCCCATTCACTGGTTGTTCATCCAAAACACTACACAAATATCCTTGACACCCCTTTTGTAGTAACTTACACACCTTTATTGCAAAAATCAAATAGGGTGGGGAAACTATTCCCTGGTCCTTAAAAACAACCTCAGATTGTCCTATGGGTTGGAAGGTGACTTGTTTTGACACACAATCTATAACCGCACGATACTTGCTTAACCAATCCATCCCCAAAATTATGTCAAAATAAACCATATCAAGAGGCAACAAGTTGGCATCTACCCAAGCATCCCCAATTAGGATTTCACATGCAAAATAAATAGACGCACACACCATGGACTCCCCCGAAGGTGTAGATACACACAAAATATAAGATAGTGGCTCCACTGGCCTATTTAAATGTCCAGCAAATGCTTTTGATACAAAAGAATGAGTAAAGCCTGAATCAAATAACACATGTGCGGAATGACCATTAACAGAAAGTGTACCTGATACCACAGCATCGGTATTTTGCACGTCACCCGAAATTAGTGCAAATACTCTTCCTTGTTTGGTGGCGTCCTTAGCGTTGGTGGGTTTTGTAGTTGCCTTTGTAGTCGGGGTTTGGGTTGACCCAGCTGAACTTGCGGTGGTTCTATTCCCATTATGTCTATTCTTTTGCGGACATTCTCTGGCCAAATGACCGGTCTTGTCACACTTGAAGCATGCCCCTGTTACCCGGTAACAGATCCCATGGTGTCTCTTTTCACAATCCGGACAAATTGGTGTAGAATCGCAGGTAAAAGCAGATGTGCTAGAAGCTCCTGAATTCAACTTCTTACTTGGCGGTGTCACCGAGCCCTTAGAGGTTTGAGTATTCTGTCTTTTCCCTCTTCATTCCGAGATTCGACTTTGGGCAGCAACATTACCTTCAGCAATCACTGCCCTTTCCAACACGTCAACATACGTGGGTAGTTTCAACACATTAATTTGGTCGAGGATAGCAGTCCGTAACCCACCTTCAAACTTCCTTGCTTTCTTGTAGTCTGTATCCACCATATGTGGTGCGAAACGGGCCAATTCGGCAAATTGAGCCTCATACTTTGCAACAGTCCTGTTTCCTTGTCTCGAGGTCTCAAATTCAGTCACCTTCTTATCTCGCATACTTTAGGAAAAATACTTGCCATAGAACAACTCCAAAAATCTATCCCATGTTGATCCTTGATGTGCAGTTCTCATGAGCATCCACCACCTCCGTACTTCATCTTTGAGAGTAAAGGCAGCAGGTTGTACTTTTTGGGCTTCAGTACAAGGAAAAACCTCGAATAACTTTTCTATACCCAACACCCACGCTTTTGCTTTCATTGGTTCAATTCCTCCCTTGAATGAAGGCGGCTTCATCTTTTTGAATTCCTTCGTGAGTGTAATTGTCCGATCCTCCGCTTGGTAATCTCGTGCCTCTGGCAGTGGTACAGGTATTGGTAGTGGTGGTTGTTGCTGTTGCTGCTATTGTCTCAAAGTTTCCGCCATCTCCATAATCATTATTTCCATTATATCCAACCGTACGGCGGTAGCATCTTTCGAATCATCTATTCTGGTTCTCACCATGATCTACATAACGATTAGTTAATACATACAAAATGCACAAGTAAACATGAATCATGATCATTACCAATGTAAATATCCCGGATTATTGTATATGCACCGAAAGTCACATGCAAGTATGACTTAAATCTTTACTATATGCCCTAAAGCTCAATGAACTCGTGCGTGAGATAGCCACTCGTGCTCTGATACCAACTGTCACGACCTAAACTTGCCCCTAAAAGTTTGAGCATGACCGTCCCGACTTGAGGCCTTAACGTAGTTATTTTAAATGTTATTCGAACTTGTGGCCTGAACGCAAGCAAAATAACAGAAGAACAAACATTCATTGAGTTGTGACTAAATGTCAGGATCATGTTGCATTAGCATTACCATACTTACAATACATTCCATATACCATTCACATCACTAAAAGCAAAAAGGAATCAACTTAGGAGTTAAACATCAACAACTTCTATACACATGTCTATTGGTCCCAAACTTACAACAAAACATGTTATCATAGGGATTAACCAAAATGAGACAAAAGAGTCACTTCAAGTGACTAAGCAAAACGAGTTCAGCTACAGGCTTCGGGGTTGACCTAGGGTGGACCCGCCAGCTGGTTACCTACAACACATTCAGAAAAGTAAAGTGAGCATGGCTCAATGAATGATAGTAGTATAAACAAACTAAAAGTACGAACATAAATTACAGTGCATTTTCTCAAATCATAAGCTTGGTCATATTTCTCTTTTCTGAACGGTCTCGGGTTCACATAAGACAGAATGGCCTCAGGCCCAACCGAGTACAGAACAGCCTTAGGCCCATCATAGTAACAAAACGGCCTTAGACCCAACAAAATACAGAACGGCCTTAGGCCCAATACAATACAGAACAGCCTTAGGCCCAATACAATACAGAATGACCTCGGGTCCATATCTTTCATGTCTGAGTTCAAACATGTATATATATATATATCAGACACATTTCATATAACATAAGGTACTCACCCAGTGAATTGGGTCTTAAATAGCATATATAACACAGAACGCGAACAGAGCATATTAATAAGCTACTATCACTCACTGTGATGTGGGTGAATGCTGGTTCCCTCCTGCGGATGCCCTACACAAAGCACATAAATCATAAGCACATTACCTTTTCTTAATTTCCTTTCATATCTCATTATTTAATTCGCTATGCCTCACGTAATTAAGTACATCATGGGAGCATTAAACAGACATAATCACATGTTTAAGAAGTCAAGAAGAGTGAGAGAACATTACAGAATTTTCTAGCTTGGGTCGCACGTGCGGAGGTCATTGCCGCACGTGCGGGAAGGTGCGCCGCACGTGCGGTTGTTCCTCCCGCTCATTTGCTCTGTTTTTCAGTCCGAAACTTCACAATTCTAGGGCACAAGAGGATAGTCATATAGCTAAATTCAAGGCCAATTTTACCCTAAGAATAGTACATATAACCATGTGAACATGTAGTTTTAGCCAATCAAAATCAAGACTTGCTTCATTTGGGCTTTTACACCTTCAATCCCCCATAATCTCCTCATTCTCACCATGTACCTCTATATATAAGTATACATGCTTATATATCACACCAATTCTAGTTTTCATGGAGGATATTTCATTTCAAAATTTTATTCAACCAATTGAAGAGGAATAAGAATTGGCTAGGGATAGATACTTACTTTAACTTGTATTCTTTTGCTCCCCTAGCAAGATCTTGAATCCCCAAATTCTTCTCCTTACTTTCTTCCTTTTCTCTTCTTTCTCTCTCTTAGGAGACCTCCAGGATTTCCACTCAATGTATATATATATATATATATATATATAAAAAGATGAGTAAAAAGAGAGGATGCAATGAGATTGCTTGAGATTAGTGGTTTGTGGCTTAAGTTCGCCTTTTCTTGGATTTGTTCATGAAAAGGAAGGGTGAGTTGTGCAAACAATCTGTGAGAATACCCTCTTTTTTTTCTGTTTGTCCTCTGTTGCAGCAAGGTGAACCAGTGCATCAGTGGCCAGCAGACCACTATCCATGGCCGGCAGGTGGCCGGCAACCTTTACCAGTGGCCGGTTGGCCACTGATGCAAATCTCAGCAAGGTGTTGGTAAGATGGAGCAAAGTTGTTCTGGAAATGTTCAACTGTGCAAACAAAGGCATTCAGGAGCGAAACGGTGGTCTTTTCAGGTGGAATCCGAGCATGCGCATGCACATTTTTCATTTCCCCAGGGCAGAGTAGTTAATTGCTTAATTTAATTGCAATTGTGTTGTAATTCTTTAATTAGTTAAGTAGTTAACTAGTTGTGTTGTAATTATTTAGTTAGTTAGTTAGTTAACTAGTTAATTAATTCAAGTGTTGTAATAATTAGCTTAATTAGATTAGCCTGATTAGCTTAGTTAGTTAGTTAGTTTATTCATTCGGACTCTCCTTCGTAAGAGCGTAATGTAATAATGTGTATGTCTTCCAACCCTACGTCTTTTTCCTTTTTATTTATCCGCTTATAATGGTTAGATTATGGACATGTTTCAATTAGCATACCTGATGCTTGTATCCATTTATCTTGTATTGTATGCACCAAGGCTCGGCGCATCATTCAAACCCCATTGTTGTTTCAATACATTCTTTGAACACATGTTTAACAGCATGTTATTTAAATTATCTCATATGCCATGCTTAGTAGCCGAGCCTATTAATTGCATTTTTTGTATGTGTTGCATTAGTCATTTTGTATAGTTAGGAATCATGAATTTTTTTTCTAACTGATACCTTTTAAGCTTGGAGTACTAGGTGAGTTTTTAGAACTTTAGCAAACTTGCATGTGTGTGAATGTTTCCATAACTAGCATGCTTGCCATGAGGCTAAATGCTTACTTGCTAAACTGTTGTTGCTGTTGCTGCTGTTGTCTCAAAGTTTCCGCATCTCCATAATCATCATTTCCATTCCATCCAACCGTACGGCGGTAGCATCTTCCGAATCATCTATTTTGGTTCTCACCATGATCTACATAATGATTAGTTAATACATACAAAATGCACAAGTAGATATGAATCATGATCATTACCAATGTAAATATCCCGGATTATTGTATATGCACCGAAAGTCACATGCAAGTGTGACTTAAATCTTTACTAGATGCCCTAAAGCTCAATGAACTCGTGCGTGAGATAGCCACTCATGATCTGATACCAACTATCACGACCGAAACCTTCCCCTAAAAGTTTGGGCAAGACCGGCCCAACTCGAGGCCTTAACGTAGTTATTTTAAATGTTATTCGAACTTGTGGCCTGAACGCAAGCAAAATAACAGAAGAACAAACATTCATTGAGTTGTGACTACATGTCAGGATCATGTTGCATTAGCATTACCATACTTACAATACATTTCATATACCATTCACATCACTAAAAGTAAAAAGGAATCAACTTAGGAGTTAAGCATCAACAACTTCTATACACATGTCTATTGTTCCCAAACTTACAACAAAACATGTTATCATAGGGATTAACCAAAATGAGACAAAAGAGTCACTTCGAGTGACTAAGCAAAACGGGTTCAGCTACAGGCTTCGGGGTTGACCTAGGGTGGACCCGCCAGCTGGTTACCTACAACACATTCAGAAAAGTAAAGTGAGCATGGCTCAATGAATGATAGTAGTATAAACAAACTAAAAATACGAACATAAATTACAGTGCATTTTCTCAAATCATAAGCTTGGTCATATTTCTCTTTTCTGAACGGTCTTGGGTTCACATAAGACAGAACGGCCTCAGGCCCAACTGAGTACAGAACGGCCTTAGGCCCATCATAGTAACAAAACGGCCTTAGGCCCAACAAAATACAGAACGGCCTTAAGCCCAATACAATACAGAACGACCTCGGGTCCATATCTTGCATGTCTAGGTTCAAACATGTATATATATATATATATCAGACACATTTCATATAACATAAGGTACTCACCCAGTGAATTGGGTCTTAAATAGCATATATAACACAAAACGCGAACAGAGCATATTAATAAGCTACTATCACTCACTGTGATGTGGGTGAATGCTGGTTCCCTCCTGCGGATGCCCTACACAAAGAACATAAATCATAAGCACATTACCTTTTCTTAATTTCCTTTCATATCTCATTATTTAATTCGCTATGCCTCACGTAATTAAGTACATCATGGGAGCATTAAACAGACATAATCACATGTTTAAGAAGTCAAGAAGAGTGAGAGAACATTACAGAATTTTCTAGCTTGGGTCGCACGTGCGGAGGTCATTGCCGCACGTGCGGGAAGGTGCGCCGCACGTGCGGTTGTTCCTCCCGCTCATTTGCTCTGTTTTTCAGTCCGAAACTTCACAATTCTAGGGCATAAGGGGATAGTCATATAGCTAAATTCAAGGCCAATTTTACCCTAAGAATAGTACATATAACCATGTGAACATGTAGTTTTAGCCAATCAAAATCAAGACTTGCTTCATTTGGGCTTTTACACCTTCAATCCCCCATAATCTCCTCATTCTCACCATGTACCTCTATATATAAGTATACATGCTTATATATCACA